GCGCCAGATACACGCGGTCGCCCTCGCGCTCCAGCCCGCGCTGCGCCGGCCACGGCTCGGCCACCTGCTCCAGCGCGTTCTGTCGCAGCTCCGCGTCCAGCCCGGCGCCTCGCAGCGTCGTCTCGGCATCCACGAGCGGCCAGCGCGTCGCCATGCCAAAGTCGCCGATCTTGAGCGTGCCGTGCTCCGTGATCAGCACGTTGGCGGGCTTCAGGTCCAGATGCAGGATGTTGTGCGCGTGGATGTACGACACGCCGCTCGACAGCTCGGCGAGCATCTTCCACAGCCGGGGCTCGTCCAGCGCGCCCACCTGCTGCCCGTACTCTTCCAGGAAGAACGCCAGCGAGCCCAGTGGGCACAGCTCGAGCTGCAGATGCAGGTGTCCCTCCTCCTCCCACGCGGCAAAGAGCGAAACAATGTTGGCATGCGGCTTGCCCGACGTCGACAGCGTTCGCAGAACGTCGACCTCTTCGAGCCGGCGCAATCGGTCGCGCGGTCCGAGGTACGACCTCTTCATGCGCTTCACCGCGTACGCATAGCCGGTCGACCTCGAGACCGCTTTGAGCACCTCGCTGAACTCGCCCGATCCGATCGTCTCCTCGACGTTGAATGCCGACTCGAGGATACTGTGCTCGTGCGCTCGTGACGATTCGTTGGATCCGAGCACCAGCGCAGAACCTCCGGGCGTTGCCTTCTGCGGTGTGTCTTGGCACGTCGACGTTTCCGAGAGGCGCGACTTGCGCCGCGTCTGCATCAGCTCCAGCCGATGCGCACGCAGCTTGTGGGCAGCCTGGCGACGCGAAGATGGCGAGGGCGTGGTGAGCACCTGTGCCGCCTCGAACCATTTGATCTGCGCCGCATTGCGCGTCGGCGTCATGGGCGCTGCGTCGCCCTCGCCGGGCGTCAACGTGGCATGCGACGTCAGTGGTGTCGAGGGAGGCAGTCCTCCTGCGTCCAGCTCGGTGACGCCGTCGGCGCTGTTCTTGGCGTCTCGGGCGAAGCTCGCGTTGCGGCTCATGGTGCGTTTGCCCAGACCAGCGGAGCGGACGCGCAGCGTCTTGGGCGCCCCAGCCGCTTTGACCGTGTCAACCGAGAGCATCTTGCGCGTCGGGGCGTGAGCGCCACCCGGAGAGGGCGTGGGGATGGTGCGCTTGCCCTTCTGCAGCCTATGCACATCTCGGATGCGCCCGGTTTGGACACTCGGACTGTGAGAAACGTCCGAGAGGCCACCTTCATCCTCGGTGGTTTCGTCCTGAGACAGGGTCTGCGAGCCTTGCGCACTGTGGGCAGAACGGCGGCTGCGAGGCAGGCCAGCATAGGCGAGGCCATGACGGCCGGAAAGCGTGGCGGGAGTGCTAGCGTTCGGTAGACCAAGTTGCATGAGGCTGAGCGTAGGGCTGTCGCATGAGTCTGTGATGACGGGGGAGCCTGTGCCGGAGCCGCCCGGAGAGAACTCTTTTGCAGGTGAAGCCGCCCCCAAAGGCGATGGCCCAAGCGTGGCGGTGTTGACGTTGATCTGGCCGCGCAGAGCTGACGCGAATTTGGGGAAGGGTACCAGCGGCGTTGAGGTGGCTTTCTTGACAGGCGTGTCGGGCATGGCATTGGTGGTGCGGTCCACCGTGGCGTGGGCGGATGCTGCGGCAACCACTTCGCGCAGGCCGAGCGCATGACCAAAGTTGGGCGGCTTGGGTGGGAACTGAAACGAGTCGGACGAGGCATCTGCTCCCTCGGAGTTCTCGCGCGCACGATTGCGCTTCGAAACGAGACCGGTAGACATGAAGGCCGCCTGAAGAGGTTTGACGCTCTTGAAGTTCTGCGGTGTGAGATACTGCGTCGAGGCTGTATCACCGGCCTCTGAAGTGAACCTTCTTTCGTGGAGGCGTCGGGCGGGGCTCGCAGTGCTGGTGCTCGTTCGGGAGCGGACGCGCGGGATGGGATCGGGAGACGAGTTGGCCGAATCGCCCTCGCTGGGCGTGGAGAAGCGAGTCTCGTGCATGAGCGAGGATCTCTCCTTGGGACCGAAGGCGTGCAGGCCGGTTTGGGCCGAGGCGCGCGCTGCCGGCGAGTCGCGACGGAAGGCGGCTTCGTGACGACGGAGCGCGTCCTGCGAGGGCGACGAGAGACCTTCGAGCATGTTGCTCAGAAGCGATGGCGACGGTGCGGGCGAGTCCTTGATGGGTGCGAGGGTGGAACCCATCCTCTTGCGGTTGCTCTTGATGCTGGCATCGTTATCGGCGAATGCGACACCACTGTCGTCGGCGGCACCACTGGCGTGGACACCGCCAAAGAGACGGAGCGGCGTAGCCGACTGTGGCGTCTGCAGGAATTGTGCCGAGACGTCGCTGCCAAAACCTCGGGAGTGCGCACTCTGGCGGCGCGCCGGAGTCGAGACAAGATCGAGGCGCTCCGTGTCGAGGTCGGCAGGCATGCTATCCAAAGTGTCTCTGCCCGTGGACGACTTGACCGCCTCGATCTCGTCTTCGAAGAGCTTGGCTGTGGGGAAGGAGCTCATGGAGAGGTTGGCTGGTCTTCGCCTCTGGTCGCGGAGCGGCGTTGTTTCTGCATCGCGGTCGGTGGCACGGATGACGGGGCGCGGTTGCGTGGCGAACTCGAAGAGATTGGCCACGCCCGGCAGCTTGTCTGCGAGACCGGCGGATGCGCTTGCGCTGCGCGGGGTGAGGAACTCGGAGAGAGGACGGTGGAGGGCGGCGGTGGACGAAGCACGGGCGCGATGAGGAGCGCGTGGGTGGGTCGCCATGATGGCCGAGTGCATGGGATCGTCGAGTTCCATGCCTGCGGCTGTGGAGGAGCGTTGTCGTGCGGGGGTGGTGAGACGCGGTGACGGGAGGCCTGAGAGGGGTGGACTGGTTGCCGAAGGGATGCGAGAGCGTGGTGGACGAAGGCGCTGGGAGGAGGAGGCGTGGATTGCACCAGCCGAGGTGCTGGTCAAGGTGTGGGTGGTGGTGGTGGACGAGTGCTTGCGGGCGAGTCGATGCGTGGGCCGTGTTCCCGGTTGCAGCATGGGCTCGCCGAGATCGATGCTGAAGCTGGTCGCCGAGTCGTTGAGCAGCGGTTGATCGCACATGGGCGAGGGCGAAGCGGGGGCGTGAGCGTGAGCATCGTCGGCGTCCGAGTCGATGTCCATGTCGACGTCCATGTCTGCGCCATCACTTCTGCGGTGGGAGTCGGAGGAGCCAAAGAGAGAGCGCGATCCTCCGCGAAGCATGGGCTGCGACGAGGGGCCCGGGACCGCATGGAGCTCGATGCCGGCGGAAGCGGAAGCGGCACTGACATCGGAGCCAGAGCCGTTGCTGACGCCCCGATGATGCCATCTGTCCTGGTCGGCCGCATGAGATTGCGAGTTGTGATCGGCGAAGGAAGGGAGATGCTGGAGAGGGATGGTCCTCTTGATGCTTGCAAAGGGCGCAAGCTCGTCGTGATCGCTGGGATCGATATCGATGGGATGGCACTCTTCGGTCGGCGAGAGTTTGGAGAGGGGCGCAAGCGCAGCAAAGGCATGGGAGCGCGGGATGGCGCCCGGCTGAGCTCTCGAAGCCGTGGCAGGAGCCGAGGGGATGTGATCCATCCAGGATGCAAAGGGCGACTTGTGGTACGCGTGCGAGCCGAAGTTTGGCGGCGGCGTCATGTTGGACTGTGTATGCAGCTGTACGTCGATGGATCGCAGCGAGCGCGAAGCTTTGTGAGGCGAAACGAAGGCGTCGTCGGTGTAGGTCATGGCTCCTTGAAGACACGGCCGACCCACAAACCTTCGCACTGATGTGTTTCGATGCTAAGCTGTGCGACTCGAGACGAGCGTTGATGGGAGCGCAGAAACCTGTTCAGCTCGATGCGACGTGATTGAGCATGTGTGTGGAGCGTCTTCTATGCGGCTGTGTTGCGGAAGGTCGGTGATGGTCGTGGTAATATGGGATGGATGCAGCAGAGGCTAGAGGAGGCTGATTCCTATGGCAAGCTTAGTATAATGCGAGTACGATGGGATAAGATCGGAACGAAGACGAGAGTGGCGATAATGCCAGACGCATATGAGGATGCCAAGACGATGTTAGAATCGGACGTGGATGAGCTACGCAGACGATCAAGGGTGGATGGGCGTGGCTGAGCCGGATGGTAGTGGTGGTGATGGTGGTGGTGGTGGTGGTGGTGGCGTGATGTGACGCAGGCGCGGCGATGGTGGTCGAGTTGTCGGAAAGGCCGACCTTGCTTTGCGCGGACTAGGCGAGGCGCGGACGAGGAAGCCTGGGTGGAAACGAGAGAGTGTGAGAATGTGTGAGGAGATGAGGGGCCAAAGTGGGTGACGAGGGGTTGGGATGGGAGCGTGTCGGATGCGAGCCGGTGGAGTTTGGCGAGTTGGCGAGTGAGGCACGACCGACACGCAGGCGCGCCGTGGAGAAAGCAGCGTGCCGCTGCAAAGGGGGAATCCGTTCCCAAGGGGAAGGGCGAGGGAAGGGGGGGCGGATGAGCCGAAGCGCTGACTCAGTGCTGCTGTGCTTTGGCTTTGCTTCGCCGAGGCTGCTCAGCCAATTTCGTGATTTTACGCGCTGCTCTGCCAGTCTTGGAGAGCGCGTCTGTCCGCGCCAACCAGAAAAAAAGCTTGCAAGGAAAATGTGCAAAAAAATACGCGACGACCGAACCCACTGGAGCCGTGGTGGTCACGCAGACCAACAGCACAGCGCGTCATCGGCCTTTCCACATAAATTTGCATTTCGGAATCTTTTTGACTGCCTTTTTCAGACCAAGCGAGACCATGAGCGTGCCTTTCTCTTTCTCCACGTCGCAGCCAGGGGCGACAGAGAACCCGCACGCGAAGCCAACCAACCCACCGCAGTTTGACCCAGCCGAAACCGCTTCGTGCAGTGCAGTGCAGTGCCGTGCAGCTCGCCATTGCGGGCGATGCCAGTGCAGCGCGGAGCCGCGCCGTGCAAAACCTGCATGCGTTGTAGCCGCTGCCGAGCTCAAGCGCCACCTCCAATTGTCTTGACGGTGGTTATCATTGTAAGTGCACGTCGTCTAGCCCATCCTAGAGGCATGTCCGAGCCACGAGGACGGGGCATCGTCCAAGCAAGAATGTGACGGTGTCTTTCACGCTCGTTTCTTCTCGCAGACGGACGGGAGGCAAGGGGCGCAGGGGAACGCAAAGAAGGACGAGGGAATGGGTCTCATCTCCACGATGCCTTGCAAGGGGATGCGAAGGCAGGAGAGTGGCGTTGCAGAGGCTTCCGAGTTGTGGATCCCGGGTCCATTGCAGTCTGCAACGCCATCGATTTGCGCCTGGCTGCCACTGCCATGGATGCCTTTGCTCACGTTGCGCTCTCCAACCGCAAAACACGCCTGATCTTCGCATGAGAAGCAGATCCTTATCTCGCTCGCCTCGTCCAGCAGATCTCGTCCATGTGCAGGCTTTGTCTCATCTTCTCCCGTCTGAGTTGCCACATGCCAGCATGCTGCAGCTACAGCTCCACCCTGCGTGCCCCCGCCACATCATGTCCCGCCCTTCTGAGACCTCCTTGCGCTAGTCGGCTTGCTGCCGCCGCGGAAAATGAACAAAGAAATGCAAAAATGCAAAATATTCCCCCCCCCCCCCCCCCCCCCCCCCCCG